GGTGGGGGTCGGGGAGGGGGTAGGGTCGTCTGAATTTTGTACAAAAATGAAATCTGAATGTTCAAATTTCCTAAATAAATAAGAAAAGTGTACATGTATAAGCCTAAAATCCCTTGCAGCACTGTCAGGCAACTTAAGAGGCAGGACTCCAAATTGAATGTCCATCTGCCACTGGACTGAGTCAAACGGGATACTTAGTGTGTAAAGTGTTTCCCCAAAGACACAACGTCGGACTGAGCTGAGTCTAGAACCCCCGAATTCCCACTCTCACGATAGTGAATCCAGTTAAAGCTGAATTTTCCTCAAATTAAAATCAGACAAACAAACAAACACATCTTTATGAAACCATTCCATTTTCGTATGAGACGGTCTTAGAAATATTCAATTTCCAAAACAGTCTAACTGTACCCTCCAAAGATCACCCCCCCAAAAACAAACAAACAAACAAACAAAACAACAAAAACAACAAACAACACAACAACAACAACCAACCAACAAACCAACCAAAAAACAAACAAACAACAAAAACAACACCACCAAAACAACAAAAACACACATAAATTTCGTTTACCTTCTCCACAGAACCCAGACCGGCATCCCAACCAACTGGTTCAAAACCTTACCACAATACTACTACCGAGAGGAGTATGAACTGTTTGACCTCACCTATGACCCCGAGGAGCTGCATAACTTGGCCTATGAACCCAGCCACGCTGACATCTTGTCCAGTATGGAGAAGAAGCTGATTGAGTGGCAGTGGAAGACCAACGACCCTTGGGTCTGCATGCCTCACGGGGTCCTTATTGACGGCCAGTGTTACCCCATGTTGAACCAACCTGCTAAATGAGAAGTTGAACCAATCTGCTAATGAGATGCTCAACTAACCTGCTAATTGAAATGTTTAACCAGCCTGCTAATAGAAATATTCAACCAGTCCGCTAATTGGGATCCAACCTGCTTAGTGAGAAATTCAACCAACCTGCTAAGTGAAATGTTCAAGGGTGTAGAATGATTCGACTAAAGTCGCTTGAAGCAAAGCTAATTTTGCTGTCACAGTCTACTTTCGTTTGTGTTTTTGTGTGATCATTTTGAATAGTTGTTATAAAATAAAAAGCTTTCTGAAAGGAATAAATATTACTGGACTACTTCTATGTATTCCACATTGGATACTTAACTTGTTTTGTCTTCATAATATGAATAATATTATTGGTTGTAATTTCTTTTTAATTGTTGGTGCCTTACCATTAAATGAACGTTGTCTCTTTGTCTTTGATAAATGCGTTTATTGAAACTTTGGCTCTTTTGGCAAGCTTACTCAGGAGTTAAATAGAGGGCCATGCTAACAAGGGTGAGAGAAGACTGTGTAGAAAAGCTCAAAACGAAACCATTACCATTAGTCTTGTAGCAGAACCTTACTTACTCTCTCCCTATACCGTCAGGTACATAAGGCGGAGAGCAATCGACGCTACGTACTTGTCTGTCCATGGTCACGTTCTCCAATCTCAGCACATCCAGGCTGTGGGCGATTGTCTCATCCCTCAGTGTGCCTCTATAGCTTCTAGTTGGTCTTCTTCCTATCCTTTTCCCAGTTGAAAACAGAACCACACTGCGG